GTGGTGGCTGGCGGCTTCCCATGCGAGGAGCCCACGCACAGGCTCAGAAGTCCTGGTGCGGAGAATGCTGGGACACACTGCAGTCAACCCGTATAGCAAGAACGCACGAGAAGGGTGCCAGGGCCTCGGAAGGCCATGTCGACACTTTGCGAGCGGGGCGCAGCCAGCGAAAGCGGCCAAGGATGGGCCGAAGGGGAAGGATGCAAGGGTAGCATTGGAAAGTTGCTCGTCATGGACAGGGATAGTTACGTTTGGGCCCCCAGGGGGGCCACATCTGTCCACACAGCAGGAGCTCGACCACAAGGAACCTTCCGCAAGAAACCCAGCCCTGAGACCCCAGGGCGTCCACTGATTTTCGGTGTGGGCACGTCACGCGCTCCATGCAAAAAAACACCGACGCGCAAGAAACCCACAGCACGCTGGAGGCAAGCAGGGCGCTTCTTGTCCATGGGCCTCCACGGTATCCACCACCCCCCGAGAGGTCCAGGAAGCTCGGCGGCGAGGCAGAGGCGGTCCCCTCCCGCGCGTGGCAAGGCGGGGCAGCCGAACGACGAAGTGGCCGGCATGTAAGAGAGGGACAGGGCCGAAGGCGGCCGCGCGGAACGCCACGCCCAGACGTCCGGCGTCGTTTCGACGCAGCTCTCTCGGGCCCGGGGCAGTCACAAGACGATGCGGGGGGGGGGGGGGGGGAAAAGCTGGTCCCATGGAGGCGACCGGGACTCCCTGGGGGCCCACGAACTGCACAAGAAAACACGGCGGCGGAGGTCCAGAGGTGAGAAAAGGCGTGTCGTGCTCTTCGGCTCGTCGACCTCCGAACACCCGTCTTTCGGCCCCTGGACCGTCAAAAAATCGATCCAGGGCGAGAAGCTCGGGCAGGACTCTGCGGGGAGGCCTGACCGGCAGCCGGGGGAGTGCGGAGGTCTCTGCTTCCTCCTGCCCGTCAGCCTCATGCCCTCGAGATCCTACCAGATGGCGAGGAGCTACGCGAGAGGTGTCAGGACCTGCCCAGGTCGAGCGAGCGGCTGGCAGGGCGACGGGGGCACAGGCTCGGAGGTCCGAAGGCTGAGTGCTGCCATTGCTTGCTCCCCGAGCTGAGGTCGAGAGCTTCTCGAAAGTCGTGGGGGGGAGGCCCCAGGAAGGGCCCGGGCCCAGGGGCTGGATCTGAGTGGAATACTGGCCAGGGAAAGGGCCAGAGCGGCCACAAGAGAGAGAGAGGGAAAAAGAGAAAGAGAATGACCCTCCTCCGCCTCCTTTCGCCCCCCCCCTTTTCCCACCCCCCCCATTGCGACCGACCCGCTCCTCCTCCTCCTCCTCCTCCTCCTCCTCCTCCTCCGCCTCCTCCTCCTCCTCCGCCTCCTCCTCCTCCTCCGCCTCCTCCTCCTTTTGGACGTTAGCCAAGCTTCAGGAGCATAGCCTGTAGCGTTTTTCCTCCTCCTCCCTCCTCCTCCTCCTCCTCCTCCTCTTCTCCTCCTCCTCCTCCCCCGCCTCCTCCTCCTCCCCTCCTCCTCCTCCTCCTCCACCTCCTCCTCCTCCTCCTCCTCCTCCTCCTCCTCCTCCTCCTCCTCCTCCTCCTCCTTTCCGCCTCTTACAGACAACTCCTCCCCGTCGCACCCCGGTGCCGGGCGGAAGGGCGGGCTGGGCGCTTCGCCCGAGACTTCCTCACCTTTCATGATGCTGGAGCCTCAAAGTGGCAACAGCTTCACACATGGAGGGTGGGCCGTTATCATACACGTGGCTCCCGCGCCGCGCACCTTCGCTTAAACAAAGCATGCAGCCACGGCTTGAGGGCGGGTGGTCTTCAAAATGTGGCGCTCGCCTCAGCGCCGCGCACATTCGTGGAAAACCGCAAAAGGCTTCACGGATTGGGGGCGGGCGGTCTTCAAAATGTGGTTCTCGCCTTAGCGCTGCGCACGGTCGATTAAAACAAAATGCAAGGGCTTCACGGATTGAGGGCGGGTGGGTTTTGACAGATGGCCCTCGCATTTGTGCCGCGAACAGTCGTTTACAAAAAATGCGAGGGCTTCACGGATCGAGCGCGGGTGGGTTTAACATGTGGTTCTCACCTTCGCGCCGCGCACATTCGTTTTTTCAAAGTTACAAGGGTTTGACGGATTGAGGGCAGCTCGCTGTCAACATGTGGCTCTCACCTTCGCGCCGCGCACATTCGTTGTAAAAAATGTGCAAGGGCTTCATGGATTGAGGACGGCTCCTTCTCAAAATGTGGCGCTCACCTTCCCCCCGCGCACATTCGTTTCAAACATGTGCAAGATGTTCGATGCTCCCATGGCTAACGTGCCAGAAATTGTGTTTTGAGGCGACTCGGGATTGCCAGGGCGCAACCGTAAAATTGATTCGCGGTGCTGAGGTCCCGGGAATGGCTTTCTGGCACGATTCAGAATCGCCAGGGCGTAGCATTCAGGCTAAGTCGTGGCGTTGAAGTCCTGGGAACCGTTTTTGGCACGTTTCAGGATTTTCACACGGTTGTCCCCCAGCGCAGCAACTCCCCAGTGGAAATGAACTTTTGCAGGGGCCTATGAAGAGGGAGCTTGGAGGAAGAGTGTATTCCAACATTGTCGATGAGTCTTCGGCATACACTTCTCCTCGTCCTCCCCCTCCCCTTCCTCCTCCTCCTCCTCCTCCTCCTCCTCCTCCTCCTCCTCCTCCTCCTCCTCCTCCTCCTCCTCCTCCTCCTCCTCCTCCTCCTCCTCCCGACGCTGAGCTGAGCGGGGCAGCTGGCCGCCCCTCGACGGCCAGTGGGGCCCCCCGTCGGTGGTGCTCGAGGAGGCTGGAGAAACAAAGGGCGGCGTGAAAGCCAGGCAGAGCCAAGGGCGCCTGATTTCGTGCTCTCGCGCCGCCCCCCAGGGGAGACGAGGAGGACGAGGAATCGGAGCCGAAGCGCGAAGCGCGTCGCGCCCTCGAGGGCGCCCTTGCGAGTCGACCCTCCGAGAACCAGCAGGGCATCTCTGACAGACCGTGGCTCCGGGGAGAGCACGGGGCAGGGAGACGGACCCTGAGCCTTGGCAGAAGGCGGCACGAGTCAGGACAGCGCCCAGCTTCGAGACCGAGCCCGAAGAGGCCTGCTCCACACATGTGCCATTCAGAGGGCGTGCCTTCAGGAGATGTGGCGCCGCCAGGGGGAGGCGGCGCGCTGGAAGGCTCGGGGATCCGTGTCGAGATCTCCGCCGAGCGGAACCCATGCCTGTCCTGCAAGCAGGAGCAGGAGGACTCCATGCCAGGCGCGCAGACGGTGCTGCATGTGAGCGGCGCGCGCAGACCACGGCTGCTGCTGCATGCCCCTGCTACGCGGTTCCGAGCGTACAGGCCCTGGCCACGGCCGCGAGGCATGTCAGAGTAGACAAGAGTGTAAGAGTTGGAGACATCATCATCATCATCATCATCATCATCATCATCATCATCATGTTCATCATCATCATCATCATCATCATCATCATCATCATCATCATCATCAGCAGCAGCAACAGCAGCAGCAGCAGCCGCCTCAGCAGCATCAGCATCAGCATCAGCATCATAATCATCATCATCATCATCGTCATCATCATCATCAGCATCATCATCAGCATCATCATCATCAGCAGCATCATCATCAGCACCTTCAGAAACCTGAAAGGCAGCCAGCATAGGTGAGTTGGACACGAGTCGCATCCTTCGACCCTTCCGTCCATGAGCGAGTCCAGGTCTGCTGTGCTTGGAAGCAGCCGAAGACCGCCGAAGTTGGCGCTTCGAGAAGGCGAGCCGGAACCAGAAAAGGTCGAACCCGGGATGCCCAGCAAGGGCGGGGAAGCGCCCCACGCGGGCTGAAGACAACGAGCGCATCCCCGTGCATGAGGCCGCGGAATGCAGGCCGACGGCGGGGGCGGACAGGAGAAGGGGAGGTAGACGAGGTGCCCTGGTTGCGCACTGGAGTTCGAGGGGTGCGACCGGAGTCTTCCTGGGGAGGAGGAGGAAGGGGAGGAGGAGGAGGAGGAGGAGGAGGAGGAGGAGGAGGAGGAGGAGGAGGAGGCGGAAGAGGAGGAGGAGGAGGAGGAGGACAGGCGGAGAGCAACCATCTGACAGACGTCCAGACGTCCCACCAGTCAGTTGGAAAACGCGGGGCACGAATCTGGATGTGCACCCAGCTCGCATTGCGAGCGCACGCCCCTTGCGCGCGCATCGGCCCCGCACCGAAGCGAGACAGAGCGCCCCCCCGCGGGAAATCAACCTCGGCTTCGACTCGTGCCGCGCGTGCGTGCGAGGTGGAGCTGCGCGAGATGCTGTCCAGTAAGAAGGGGGGCACATATCATGCCAACATGTTTCCCCCCCTCACGCCAGCCAGTGGCAGATCAGCATCGAGATCGGGTGATGCCAATCGTAAGGATAGGGATATGTTCCAGGCTGGTGAGAATATATCCACTTGATCTTCATGATGCCCCTTCACATCCTCGTCCCTCCCCCGTGTTTGACATCCTCTCCCTTTTCCCCTTCGCGACGCATCACATTTATCCGCATGGGGGCCCTCCCTCCGGAAAGGTGTGCAGCTTGACCATAGTGTTCGAGCCCTCGCGCCACACGTTGGCGACGTCCTGGATCGAGCCGCGCACGCACAGGCTGCCGCGAAGGCCCGTGAGGAACTTGTCGTTTGCCTGAAGCACCCTCCTATTCTTCCTGCCCATCCCGCTCACCAGACCCCCTCGGGCAATGAAAAAATGATGTCGGAAGGTTTCTCGCTACTTTCGGCCTGCAGGGGCCCCTACCAGGCCTCGGGAGCGTCAAAAAACGACTCAGGACGAAAAGCTGGTCCAGGGGAATCGGTCGAGACCCCTGAGGGCTGACGTTATGAAAGAGTCATTACGTCGGGGGTCTGGGCCTCTGAGGACAGCACAACCCAACCCCCAGCCCCAGCCAGGACCCCCACTCCCGAAACAGTGATCCGGGGGCTCCTGGCCGGGGTGAAATGATTCATTCGGCCGCCAAGGATCCGCCCGCCCCCCTCCCCATCCAAGCCCCCGGGATCACCAGCTCGGGAGTGGGGGTCATGGCTGGGGATGGGGTCGGGTTGTGCTGTCCTCATCCTCGACGCCTTCTTCACGCATGCCTTCCTTCATGGGCCTTTGGCAGTTATGTGCAGACCCTCCTACCACTCATGCTTGCCTCGCCCATCGGCGAATCGCTTTTTCGCTGCCTCGTCGCAACCAGAACGTCTGCGTTTGCACATATGGACCTACTTACGGTCAGGAATTTTTAGCGTGCCGCGGCGGCGGCCCTGGCGTCACGCCATACGCTGCAAGCGGACAGCGTGTAGCTCCGCTCCGCAGGGCGGGACAGTTGGAAAAGCTCGGGACGTTGACGCCCAGGGACTGGAAAGTGGTTAGCGTCTCGCGCCGAAGCACAGCGGGCCAGAACTGGCGGCGCGACACACTAAACCAATATTCCTGGCCGTAGTTAATCAGACTCACCCTCAACGACTCCACTGCCGGCATGACCGCATCCAGTTCGTGCAAGAGCCAACCGTGCCACCATACAGCCCCCATGGATGCTGCCAACATGGCCACAGCAAACCGAAGGATACCAACACCGGAGAGAACGACTTCCATGTCGCCGTGGCTCACAGAGGACTGCTTGGAGCCAACCACCCCCTCCCAAAACCTGCCAAATTAAATCGTGGAGCCAAATTCCACCTTGCAACCAGCCCACCCCACCCATTCACGCCCACCATCACCACCACCTGGGACCGACCAACCACACGCACACAATCTGAAAGAACCCACAAAGCACACGTTCCTCCTAAGCGGCATTTGGTCGCAATCGCTGGATCAAGTGGCACGGGCCACGCCACCAACAACTCAATGGAGCCACCTTGTATGGAGACGCGTGCACCCCACGCACACACTCGCAAACAAGATGTAAGGGGTCGGAAAACCTGCCCACCAGGTGCAATCGCAATCCACCTGCGCCAAAAAGCCTTTCAACATTATATAAGCAACGCTTTGCACTCATAGGGGCTCTTCACTGGGGAAACGAACAATGACACGGCGCCGCCCCTGGCGCGTTCTGCGCGCCAAGGTGGGGGGTCCAGCGCCGATCCGAGAAATCCGCGAGGACCTCCGAGTTCGTCTGCTTATGCTACTGTTCGTTCCCCTATTTGTCTGTCATCTTTGAATGCATTCCTGGGCTTTCGACTGGTGGGCTTTCGTTTCGCACTTACGAGGGGCTCTTTATCTGTTGTCCTCCTCCTCCTCCTCCTCCTCCTACTCCTCCTCCTCCTCCTCCTCCTCCTCCTCCTCCTCATCCTCCTCCTCGAGTCAACAAAATTAATCAAACATAGTCCAACATAATGGGAACATCGCCCCCAGACTAGATAGACTATACTTGTTACTGTTTTTGCATACTCCTCCTGTAGAGGCCCATGCCCGACTTGACGCTGGTTGCGTTTAAGGTCTCCCCGGGGTGGGCGCCCGGGGCCGCCTCGCCAGCGCCTCGTGCTGCTTCCACCACATTGCTTCCTCCACATGCTACAACTTACAGCTCGCACCACACAGCTTACTCCACATAGGCTACACCACATGCCCTTCACCACATGGCTTGTTCCACACAGCTTACACCGTGTTCCCTACACCACATACCTTACGCCAGGTACCCTGCACCGCAGAGCTTACACCACATAGCCTGCACCACGCAGATTCCACGGCGATGCTTATACCACGTATCTTGCACCGCAGAGATTGCACATCGAAACTGGAGTAGCCATCTGTTTGGGGTCCATGCTGGTAAACCTCTACTATACGCGTGGGCGTAATCGGAAAATTGGAAGGGAGGGGAAGCCTTGCATCCTGCGAACCATGCCAGGATTAGTTGAAGGGGTGCGTTGAAGGGACCACTTTGGAGAGCAATGGGCAAATGATCACTGCCTGCATCATGCGAAACGTCGGGCTTGGCGGCACCATGCCTGGCCGCGCCGATGGCCACGAACCACCGTGGAATTGTCAACGCCGACTCGAATCGGCGCCGACGCACGCCTAAGGACCAGCAAGAACCCCCAGAGCTCAGAGCGGAGGACACCCTGCCCTTGGCGCAGACCTGGGACCGTGCATGCCATCGCCTTAAGCACCTGCCATTGCTCGTCAACGAGGCAGAAGCCCTATGACAGGTTCCTGTCGTGACGACCCGGCATTGGCTTCTGACATCGCGTTGGTTTCTCACCCCGTCCGAGTGGGCCATAGAGGGGGTCGTCTCCAAGCTCGAGGGAGGAGGATGACGAGGCGGTGGAGAAGGATTCCTCCTACGTCGGCGACTGCCTCGGACCTCTGGCCGCGGTCCACGCTGAGCGTGGCGGCCGCGTGCAGCTGCTCGATCTCACCGGGAACCTGTCGGCCAAGAGGACTACAACGACGACGACAACGACAACGATGACGACCATCTTGCGAACATGTGATCCCACAAACTGCTTTGACCAAAATGTGGTTCTCACTCTCCACCGTACCCTCCCGCTACGTTTATGAACCAACCCCCTTTTTGGGGGGAGGACTCTTTTCATACCCGCGCATTGGAGAAGCCCAGTGAGGCGTCTCGGAGAAAAGTGTAAAGAAGTATCGAGCAGGAAACGTTGTCGTCGTAACTGAGTCATCAAAAACTTGACCAAACTGCAAGGAAGTCTGGGGCGAGAGCACCGTTCCTGAGTTCGAGGGCCTCTCTGGCCAGGGCGTCTCGGAGTAAACTGTGAGGAAGTATAGAGCATGAGCCGTTGTCGTCGCAGCTGCGCCGTCACCAACTTGACTAAATTGCGAGGTGTCTCGAGCGAAAACGCTTTTCATGAGTTTTGCGGCCTCTGGCCAGGGCGTCTCGGAGTAAGTTGTGAGAAAGCATCGGGCGGCAACCGTTGTCGTTGTAGCTGGGCCGTCGCAAACTTGATTGCATTCGAATAAGTTTCGAGATGGCACCCTTACCGTTCCCAAGTTTGGGGGCATCTCTGACAAGGGCGTCTGGGAGTGAACTGTGAGGAAGTATCGAGCAAGATTTGAATCCAAGGCCACGCTCGAGCGGGAGCCTCGCTTTCACAGAAAATGTAGCCTGCGTCGAGGCGAGAGCGCCCCGGATCGACTCCATAGAACAATAACTGTTCTCTGGAAATGAAACGGCGACGACGATGACGATGACGATGCCGACGACGACGACGACGACGACGACGACGACGACAACGACGACGACGGACGACGACGACGACGACAGCGACGACAACGACGACGACAACGACGACGACGACGGCGACGACGGCGACGGCGGCGACGACTGAGACGGAGCGGCGGCGGTGACGATGACGGTGAGGGGGTCGAGAGGGTTGGCGAGGGAAGGAGGAAAGTGGAAGGGAGAGAGGGGAAGGGGCAAATTAGGCGAGCCCACGCGATATCTGACATCCTACCCCTCCCGCGCATCCCCTCTCGTTGCGCCGTGCTGTCTCCATCCGCCGACGCGTGCCCCAGCGGACCTGGAGCTCCAAGGAGGACGCGCATCGTGTCGTAGCATGCGCAATCGGAAAACAAAAAAAACGGAGCTGCGTACATTGGAGAAGGTGGCGGCGCCGCTGGCGCTGCCCCACTTCGCGCCACGCAGCGGGTGCCGGAAGCCCTGACGCCGAGCATGTTGTCGCCACCCCCGCGGAGCGTCCCCCCCGGCCTCTGCCTGCCGAGGCGGCCGCGCTCTGCCTCCGAGAGGGCCGCCGCCGCCGCCCCTCCGCCGCACCTCCGCCCGGGGCGGAGGACGGCGCCGCCCTCGCGCGCCCCGAGAAGGCGAGGGGCACGAGGCCCCTGCTGGGAGCGCACGGGGCCGCGGCGGGCGAGCCTCGGCCGGGCGCGACATCCACACCGCAGGCGCCCCACGCAGGCGCGAAAATGCAGCAATACATTTGCGCCCAGGAGTGTGCTGCACGCCCCAAATGTGTGGCAACCCCACAGATCCATTGCACCAAATCTATTGCACCACCCCCTTGTCGCTGGACCCCCTGCTGGGTCGACCCACGCGGGCGCCCCCCCCCCCGAGCGCGGGGCCCAGAGGTCGGGAGCTCTCCCCTCGTTTTGTTCCCAACCATCCTGTGGTGTTGGGTCCTCGTCTTGAGGAGACGGCGCCCCGCGTCCCACCTCCTCCTCCTCCTCCTCCTCCTCCTCCTCCTCCTCCTCCTCCTCCTCCTCCTCCTCCTCCTCCTCCTCCTCCTCCTCCTCCTCCTCCTCACTGCCGCAGTGACACCCTTGAATACTGCTCTCCTCTCTCCCCTGGTGGCGACCGGGGAATGTCCAGCCCCCCTCCGCGCACTGGTTCTTTACACACAGGATTCCCGGGAGTTGGGTTTTCGCTTGGGCTTGTTTTCAAAATGCTGCTCTCGCTGAAGCGCTGGCCTCAATTTCGGGCTACCGCTCGTTCCGAATCGTGCTCCCGCTGCAATGCTGGCCTCATTTCCGCGCTTCCGCTCGTTCCGAATCGTGCTCCCGCTGCAGCGCTGGCGTCATCATTTCGAGTATCATGCCCCGGCATGGCTTTTGGTCCTTCCAAATAGGCCAAAAAATCTGGAGTATGCTTCCCGAAAAAACAATCGGAAGTGATTACACACTCGGTGTCGATTCGTTGATTATTGGGGCCGCGGAAACCCCCCCTCCACTTTGGGGCGTCGCCACGCCATGCTATGTATGGCTACGCGTCTTCATATCCGCGCTTCCGCGCTGGGTTTTTGTTTCCGAATGCTGCTCTCGCTGAAGCGCTGGCCTCATTTTCGGGCCACCGCTCGTTCCGAATCGTGCTCCCGCTGCAGCGCTGGCCTCATTTCCGCGCCTCCGCTCGTTCCGAATCATGCTCCCTCTGCAGCGCTGGCGTCATCATTTCGAGTGCCATGGCCCGGCATGGATTTCGGTCCTTCCAAATAGGCCCCAAAATCTAGAAAAAAGGCCTCCCGAAGAAGCCGTCGGAAGTGATTACACATTCGGTGTCGATTCGTTGATCGTTGGGGCCGCGGAAGCCCCCCTCCACCTTGGGGCGTCGCCACGCCATGCTATGTCATGCTACGCGTTGATCTTCGACACCATGCTATGCCATGTAATGCTATGCCATGCTGCCACATCCGATTGTGCGAATAGAAAGGAAATCTACGCCCTGGTAAGGGATGGGAGGCAGGGGTGGGACGTCCCATATGCCGCGAGCGCACCTAGATCGTCCTCGTCCCCCTCCTCCCTCCTCCTCCTCCTCCTCCTCCTCCTCCTCATCCTCCTCCTCCTCCTCCTCCTCCTCCTCCTCCTCCTCCTCCTCATCCTCCTCCTCCTCCTCCTCCTCCTCCTCCTCCTCCTCCTCCTCCTCCTCCCCCTTCATCCTCCATCCTCATCCTCGTCATCACCATCACCATCATCATCATCACCATCATCATCCCATGCGTCCGAGCCATCCCCCCCCGCGCACCCCCCACACGTTTCGTGGCCCCACGGGGAGCTCTACCGAAGGCCCCAGCGCTAGGGTTCGCATGGCACCCCCACCTCCGTTTCGGCACACCCCTCACAAGGTTCGTGGCCCCATAGGGAACCCCACCGAAGGCCCAAGTGACAGGGTTTACATGCGTCCCCGCGACTCATTCGGCACACCCCTCACACGGTTCGTGGCACCATAGGGAGCTCCACCGAAGGCCCCAGTGGCAAGGTTTACATGCGTCCCCGCGACTCATTTCGGCACACCCCTCACACGTTGCGTGGCACCATAGGGTGCTCCACCGAAGGCCCCAGCGGCAGAGTTTACACGCGTCCCCTTTCATACTGAGGAAGAGACGCTTGCGCGAGGCCCCTGGAATTGTCCACGGCGCAAGGCCCCTGGACCTCTCGACCCCATCCCAGGGACAAGATTGACTTCGGGTAGATTTGCTCATAGCCCTGGACCCAAGAACGGCCTCCAGAAGATGCGATCGTCGAGGGAGATCAGCCGGGATCGAACGTAGCGCGACGTTGGCGGTGAAGGCCCCTTCAACATCGCACCAGACCTCCGACGTCGCGATTTGTTCACACGGCGAAAGGCCCGTGGACCTCTCGACCGCATCCTGGGCACCAGTCCTGGGCCCTAATGTGTTCCGGATGCCGAGATCGAGGAAGAAACGGGGAGATCCGACGCATCACGTTGGGGGTCGAGGCCATTCCAAAATCGATCCACGGACCCGTCCAGGGGAGCGCTCTGGCCAAAATCTCGCTGCGGACGAAGCCGTCGCGACGAAGACGCTCCAGTAGGGGGCCACATGCGAACCGTACCCACACACACACACACACGACTTCTGAGGGGGACGGTGGGGCCCACTTCGTTCGGGAGCTCCCGAGCGAAGTGGACCCCACGCTCCCCATCAGAAATCGTGGGGTAGGGGCAGGGTTCGCATGTGGTCCCCTACCCAGGCGGAGGCTGGAGGAGAGAGGGAGAGAGAGGGAGAGAGAGAGACCAGCGGTGCGAGGCAACCCCGCTGGTCCAGCAGGGGGCAACGGCACCCCGTCTGTTCGATGCCCCTCGGCGAGGGCAGGGGGCACCGCCCGCCCAGACCTCCGACGGGGCGCGCAAAGACATGCTGGTACGACACGTTCTCCTTGGAGGCACACGTCCGACCCAAACATATCGTACACCCATATTGCAGCACATCGTTTCCCGAGCGGCGTGGCCAGAAAGCGCCCGCCACGGCGCATGTACTGCAAGATGTACTGCAGGAGGAGGAGGAGGAGGAGGAAGAGGAGGAGGAGGAGGAGAAGGGGGAGGAGGAGAAGGGGGAGGAGGAGGAGGAGGAGGAGGAGGAGGAGGAGGAGGAGGAGGAGAGCCTGCTGGAGCCTCCTTCGGTCCCTCTTTTGGAGTCCCCTGCAGGTCCTCTCGGCTCCAAGAGGGCTGGTAGATGTTCCGCTTGCGAGGTCAGAGGTCAGCAGTGGGCGGCAAGCGAGGGGGGGAAGTGCGAAGAGGCGGGCCTTCTCAGAAGGCTCCGAAGTCCCCAGACCCTCTGAGAGGTTTTCTAAGTTTTCCCCGAAGGCACAGAAAACTTCTCCGAAGGCGCGAGGGCTTCTGACAAGTCCCATCACCTTCGGAGAATAGGGGGGCGAAAAATGGCATAAACATAAAAACTCGGAGGTCCACGCGGATTTCTCGGATCCGCGCTGGACCCCCTTCCCTGGCGCGCTCCGCGCGCCAGGGACGGCGCCAGAGGCGCCGCCAAGGAGGTCCCAGCGCCGATCCGAGAAACCCGCGCGGACCTCCGCATGTTTATGTTCATAACATGTTTCGCCACCCTGGAGAAGGCCTTCTCCTTCCCACTTCCCCCCCCCTCCCTCCCTCACCCCCCCACCCCCCTCCCTCCCTCACCCTCCCTCCCTCCCTCCCTCCCTCCCCCTCCCTCCCCCCCTCGCTCGCCGCCGAAGCAGGGGGGGGAAGGAAAAGGAGAAGGGAGCCGCAGCAGTGGGCGGCCGGGAAGGCCGCGCGGCCGCGGCCACACCACGCCCTCGAGCCGCGGCCCGCACCACCACGGACGAGCGTGGCCAGCAGTGGAGCAGCTTTGGAGGAGGAGGAGGGAAAAGGGGGAGGGAAAAGGGGGAGGGAGGGGAGGGAGGGAGGGAGGGCGGAGGAGGAGGAGGAGGAGGAGGACGAGAGGAGGAGGACAGGAGGAGGAGGAGAGGAGGAGGAGGAGGAGAGGAGGAGGAGGGGGAGGAGGAGAGGAGGAGGAGGGGAGGAGGAGGAGGAGGAGAGGAGGAGGAGGAGGAGGACGGGGGGGGGAAAAGAAGGAGGAGGAGGAGGAGCGCACGTCCATGGGCGAGCCATGGGTTACCGTCTGATGAGAGCCGCATGGCGGACTCAAAAGTGTTGCGCGTAGCTGCCGAGCGGCTGCGGGGGTTCCGCAAGCTCGGCAAGAAAGCAAGACTGAGAAAATCATGGGCAAGGGCCACCGTGAGATTGGTGTCTTGGCATTCCTCCTCGGATCCCAAGTTAAGCCAGAGGAAAGGAGGAGCGGACGGAATATGCAGACGGGGCAGTGCGATGAGATGCAGCAGGCGGGGGCAAGAGAGGTAGTGGAGGAACGAGTCGGGGCAGTCGGGGCAGCCAAATCGACACTATAAAGGGGTGAGGATCTTGATTCTGTGGCTGGTGATCCACCCTCCAGCCAGATCCACAAGATGAGACCAAACTTGACTGGGTTGCGATCTGGCCAAAACCTGCCGAAGACGCAGCCACCTGGCTTTAATCTCGTCCTCGGGCAAGAAATCCAAATGTGGAAACAACGTGCGGAGCCTTCTGGACAGAAGTTCGTGGAAACGATCCGGGTACATTCAACCACTTAGTTTAGCTATGAAGGCACCCTGAAGCCGTTTACCCCGCTCCCACAACGCTGACGACCACGCCTCACCCTTTCGCCCATCGGAGTGCCGTCAGCCCTAGGGCTAGGAGTCTAGATGTTTGCCCCGGCGATGGCGGTGGCGATCGCCTCTTGCATGAGATTCGCGGGCAAAGGGAGGCCACGGCAGCCTCGGACGAGCTCTCTGTAGTGCTGCAAGATTCCTGAACCTTCGGCCCAACAGTCCGCTGAGAGGAGACCTCGTCGCACTCTCATGTGAAAGCCGTGCACGTCCACCCCGTCCCACCACCACTCAAAATCCCCCGCCCAGTTTTTCAGAGTGTGCGGTGACTCATGCCATGCGCATCCTTAGGAGGAGGAGGAGCAGCAGGAGGAGGACCTGCTTAGTTACTCTGCGCCCTCAGGGCACTTATCCTTGTCCCACTTCTTCTGGACCTTACTGTGCCCGCACTGGCGGCAGCCTTAATATCTGTGCTCGCGGCTCGCTGAAGTCGGTATCCTTACTGCTTTGTCACTGGAAGACCGCCACAGCCACGAAGCCCGTGTATGGCCAACGTCAAGAGGAGGATGAAAAAAAGGATGAGGAGGAGGAGGAGGAGGAGGAGGAGGAGGAGGAGGAGGAGGAGGAGGAGGAGGAGGAGGAGGAGGAGGAGGAGGAGGAGGAGGAGGAGGGGGGAGAGCCGTCAGGACGTCCATGTCGCAGGGCAGGCGGTCCTGCACGCCGTCCCGCGAGTAGGCGGACCGCACGACGAACCAGGTGGCACGGCCTCCCCGAGCGCAGCCGCAAGCTCTGGACCCTCCCCACCGAGGCCCTCCTCCTGGTGGTACAGTCGGGGCGCTGAAGAAGGAACCCTTTTCGTTAGGGAGGGGCTCGGAGTTCCTTGATTGCTTCACAGCTTGCCTCAGGTCTTCCTTGTGTTCTTGGATGGGAAGTCGAAGTTCGACTTCTGGAGACAAGGGGCCTCGTTCCTTCTCTTCAGGGCTCCTTAGGTCAACGCTCCGACTCTAAGGCGCAGGGCTGCGGGACCACTCCCCCCGGGCAGACCCGGCTGGCCCCCGAGCAGTCCAGAGCGGTCCCGGCATCCCGGCGCCGCCCCCGGCGGCGCCCGCGAGGCGCGGTGTGCGCCCCCGCGGGGTCGAGGCGCTGCGGCCGCCCAGGGCCGGTCGGGGAGCCCGTGGAGGCCGGCCAGGGCTACCTGGGAGGGCAACCCCCTCCTCCTTCTCCGCCTCCTCCTCCGCCTCCTCCTCTCCTCCTCCTCCTCCTCCTCCTCCTCCTCCTCCTCCTCCTCCTCCTCCTCCTCCTCCTCCTCCTCCTCTTCCTTCCTTCTCTTCCTGCTCATCCTGCTCCTTCCTCCCTCCTCCCTCCTCCTCCTCCTCCTCCTCCTCCTCCTCCTCCTCCTCCTCCTGCCGCTGAATCGGCAGCCCCAGCACGCACCTAGCTTCGAGGTGCGTGTCCACCAGGGCTAGGCGTGTCGCTGCCGAGTCCAATCATCACTAAAAACCAGCAAGTGGTGTGCCCATCTCGGGGCCCGGGGAAGGGTCAAGACCAGTCCACATCGAATCGGGGAGTCGGCTCGAGTCGAAACGTGCGTCGGATCGGGCCGCATCGGCGCGGAGCCAGAGTCGAATCGGATCGGCTGCGCCAGGAGGCATAGCAGCGCCGTGCAAGCATCTGGCCGCATCGACTCGTCGGAAGGGGAATCGAATCGGATCGGGCCGGCCAGCATGAATCTCGAGTCGGATCGATCAGATCGAGATCGACCCCGTAAAAAACATCACAACATCACACTGGAGGAGCAAAACCTGCTGGCTTGCAGGATACAGGTGCGCACGAGTTCCTACAAGATCGGCCATCGGCCAGGAAGATATGTCACACCAGATGCCCGCCTGTCCAGGTGGTGGTGGTGGTAATCATTCACATCATAATCATCATCATCAGAATCATCAGCATCATAATCCTCCTCCCCCTCCTCCTCCTCCTCCTCCTCATCATCATCATCATCATCATCATCATCGTCATAATCAGCATCAGCATCAGCATCAGCATCAGCATCAGCATCATCATCATCGTCATCAGCATCAGCATCAGCATCATCATCATCATCATCATCATCATCATCATCATCATCAGCAGCAGCAGCAGCAGCACCACCACCACCACCACCACCACCATCAGCACGACCATCATCATCACCAGCATCACCATCGTCGCTGGCCTTACTATCTTAAGGTTCGTCATGATCCTCGTCATCGGAAAGAGCGTGTTCTACCGCTGCTGGCGGAAAACCGGGGGGTCACTGGGGGTTCCCAACCCCCCACCTCCTCGCCGCCTGCAAACGACCCCCGCTCCTCGGGACAGTGGACAATGGTGGGGGTACTGGGACAGTGGTGGGAACGGTGGTGGTGGGGACAGTGGTGCGGGGACGGTGGGACAGTGGTGCGGACAGTGGTGGGGACGGTGGTGGTGGGGACAGTGGTAAGGGGACAGCGGGACAGTGGAGGGGACAGTGGGACAGTGGTGGGCACGGTAGTGGTGGGGACAGTGGTGAAGGCGGTGGTGAGGACAGTGGTGGGACAGTAGTACAGTGGGGAGAGTGGTGGGGACAGTGGGGGCAGTGGGACAGTGGTGGGGACAGTGGGGACGCTGGGACAGCACAGTGGGACAGCGGCGGGAACAGTGGGACAGTGGTGGGTGCAGTGGGGACAGTGGGACAGTGGTGGGGACCGTGGGGAAAGGGGGGAGAGTGGGAACGTGGTGGGACAATGGTGGCGAGAGTGGGGACAGTGAGGCACTGGTGGGGGCACTGGTGGGGACAGCGGGGACAATGGTGGGAACAGTCGGGACAGTGGGACAGTGGTGGGGACTGTGGGACAGTGGTGGGGACGGTGGTGGTGGGGACAGTGGTGTGGGGACAGTGGGAATGTGGTGGGGACAGTGGGAGGGGGAAGGCCTCGAAGCAAGGGAGGAGAGACGAACCACGAACGACGACCACGAAAATAACTGGCCCTGAGCTTCAAGAACGCAGCTGCGCAAGATAAGAAGACTGCCCCCAGGCGGAGCCATCAGCGGGGGCGGTTCTCCGATGAGTTCTGCATTGGACGCGGCAAACGTGGACGTATGTATGGGACGCCCAAGGGCATACTAGTAGTATGTGCGCCCGATCTTGTAGTATATCGTTTCCCGAGCGGTATGGCCAGAAAGCGCCCACCACGGATCATAGAATGTAAGATTTCTCAACGCGCATCGCCCCAAGAGAAAGGGGGGTTGGCGACGCACACATAGTAGTAGTAGAAGTCGTAGTACAGTCGTGGTACAGTCGTAGTAGTAGTAATAGTAGTAGTAGTAGTGGTAGTAGTAGTAGTAGTAGTAGTAGTAGTAGTAGTAGTAGAAGTAGAAGTAGAAGTACAAGTAGAAGTAGTAGTAATAGTAGTAATAAAAATAGTAGTAGTAGTCGTCGCCGTCGTCGTCGTCGCCTTCGTCGTCGTAGTCGTACAAGTAGCCGTAGCCATAACGTAGTCGTAGTCGGAATCATAGTCGTAGTCGCACTCGTCGTCGTGGTAGTAGCCGTGGTAGTGGTAGTAGTAGTGGTAGTAGTAGTAGTAGTAGTAGTAGTACTAGTAGTAGTAGTAGTAGTAGTAGTAGTAGTAGTAGTAGTAGTAGTAGTAGTGGTAGTAGTAGTAGTAGTAGTGGTAGTAATAGTAGTAGCAGTAGTAGTGGTAGTAGTAGTGGTAGTGGTAGTGGTAGTGGTAGTAGTAGTAGGAGTAGTAGTAGTAGCAGTAGTAGTACTAGTAGTAGTAGCAGGAGTAGTAATAGTAGTAGTAGCAGGAGTAGTAATAGTAGTAGTAGTAGTAGTAGTAGTATCGTAGTAGTCGCAGTAGTTGTAGTAGTAGTAGTAGTAGCAGTAGTAGTCGTCGTAGTAGTAGTAGTAGTAATAGTAGTAGTAATAGTAGTAGTAGTAGTACTACTACTAGTACTCGTAGTAGTCGTAGTAGTAGTAGTCGTTCCTGTCGTAGTAGTAGTACTGTCGTAGTAGTAGTACCAGTAGCAGTAGCAGTAGTAGTAGTAGCAGTAGTAGTAGCAATAGTAGTAGTAGTAGTAGTAGTAGTAGTACTAGTAGTAGTCGTAGTCGTAGTCATAGGCGTGGTCGTAGTCTTAGTCGTACTCGTCGTGGTAGTGATAGTAGTAGTAGTAGTAGTAGTAGATGAAATGGTAGTGGTAGTAGTAGCGCTACTTCTCATAGTAGCACTAGGAGTAGTACTCGTACTAATACTAATACTAGTACTAGTACCAGCACTAGTAGTGGCAGTAGTAGTAGTAGTAGTAGTAGTAGAAATAGAACTACTAGGAGTAGTAGTAGTAGTAGCCAGCGTAGTAGTAGTCATGGGAGCATTAGTAGTAGTAGTAGCAGTAGTAGTAGTAGTAGTAGCAGTAGTACTGATAATAGTAGTAGTGATCCTAGTAGCAGTCGTGATCGTACGAGTAGGTAGTGGGTAGGAGTAGTAGTAGTAGTAGTAGTAGTAGCTGTGGTAACAGTCGAAGTAATAGTAGTAGTGGTCGTCGTAATAGTAGTAGTAGTGATGATAGTAGTAGCAGTACTAGTAGTCGTAGTAGTAGTGGTAGAAAAATTACAGTGGCAATAGTTGCAGTGGTAGTCGGAATAGTAGTGGTCGTCGTCGTCGTACTAATGGTGGTCATCGCCGTCGTCGTCGGAATAGTAGTAGCCGTAGTAGTATTGGTACTAGTAGTAGTAGTAGTAGTAGTAGTAGTAGTAGTAAGAGTAGTAGTAGTAGCAGTAGCAGTAGTAGTAGTAGTAGTAGTCGTCGTAGCCGTAGTAAAAGTCATGGTAGTAGTAATCATAGAAACTGTAGTAATAGTAATACTAGTAGTAGCAGCAGCAGCAGCACTAGCAGCGGCTGGAGTATTAGCAGAAGTAGTAACAGTAGTAGTCATAGTAGTAGTTGTTGTTGTAGTGATAGAAAAAAACGAATAATAATGGTAGTATGTTAGTGGTGACGCCAAATGTACGTCGGTGCGTTGGGGCATCCCCAAATCAGAAGGCGCTTGCATCGGCTACACGCTAGACCGACCCTGGGTAAGAGTGACCATTGGTGCGCGACTTTGGGGGGCAGCGGGGGCCACCAATCACAAGCGCGCAACACGCCACTGCCGCCTCGCACTCGGCGATCGGGGGATCCAGTTGGGGCCCGCACCAAAGGTCACTCCAACGAAAGGTCACTCTTACGTCCACTTGATTGCAGCGGCGAGAACGGGAAGCACGAGAGAGCGCCTTCCAATCTCGACGGGGGCCCCGAAAACCCCAGTCGAACAGGGCGAGGCCCCTCCGCAGCGCCGGGCCCAACACCCCCCGGAGGGTGGCGAAGCTCGGGCGAGAGCTCTGCCAAGGCCCAGCGCACGCAGCAGCGGCGTGCCCGGGGGGGAAGTGATAAGGAGAAGGCCCCCTCAGAAGGCGGCGGAACTTCTCGGAAGCCCTCCGGCCTTCCGAGGAGTCTTCTGTGCGGCTTCGGGGAAGGCATCCAGAAAACTTCTCAGAGGGCCCGAGGCCTCCCGAGCATACTGCGAGGGTCCGCCCCTTCTCAGTGCCCCCCCCATGGGTTCGCCGCCGAACGTGGGAAGAGGGGCGGGGAAAGGGAGCGAAATGGAAAGAGGCAGGGGTGGCAGAGGGAGAAAGGCCAAGCGCACATCGCCATCCCCGGTGGTCCAGGATGCCTCAGACCTCCAGCCTGCCCGCTCGAGGTGGGGGCGGATGCCGCGAAACCCGACGGAGACGCCATCCATCGCCACCCAGGGGGTAGGTCGGGCAGCGGAGCTACGGCTTTCTCAGCGGGACCTGGGATGGGTCAAACGATGCTGGACGATTGACAGCTGTATATATTTGTTAGTGTACATACGTGCGTGCACGTGTATACATATATATATATATATATACAAATATACACACGTAGAAAAAGAGTGTCACGCAAGACGTAAACAAAAACACAAGCAAGCACGGTCAAAGTGCCAACAAACCAACAGAGATGAGCACACGCGCACAGCAATGCAAGCCATAAACATCATACTTTTACGTACACTTGCAAGAAAAGAAAGAAAAACGTTGTATCCATAAGAGAGAGGGGAGAAGAGAGACGAGAGAGAGAGAGACAAAGAACAGGACAGAGAACGATAGCTGGAAAGATGCACCCGAGTGCGCATGCATATCTAAACATACAGGTCGAAGGATAAATGGAGACAATGCAAGAAGGCACATGCACGCACAAACCTAATGCACATGGTGAAACAAGCCCACTAAGCACAAAACAAACAGACACACAAAGCAGCAGAATCACCACAGGCTAAAACATGGCACGCGAAGCAAGCAGCCCAACACAAGTATTTACATAGATAAACACACAGAACACGCGCGCACAAACAAACATCACAACAAAAACAAGCGCCCCTCCTCCTCCTCCTCCTCCTCCTCCTCCTCCGCCTCCTCCTCCTCCTCCTCCTTCTCCTCCTCCTCCTCCTCCTCCTCCTCCTCCTCCTCCTTCTCTCGTTATTCCTCCATCTCTGTCATCCTCCTCCGCCTCGTCTTCCTCCTCCTCCTCCTCCTCCTGTTCCTGCTCCTCCTCTTCCTCGTCCTCTTCCCCCTCCCTCTGGCCTGAGTCAGGGGCG